AGACTTGAAAGTTGAAATTATTCCTTGATTCATGGGCTACAGAATGGATGTAGTGTTAGTAGATAGGAAAACAACATTAATCTCGTTATACATCTGCATCAGAGCTCTGGGGTGACCTGGTGCATCGTCAATGAACAGTAATATTTTGAAAGGAATCTTTTTTTCTAAGCAGTAGTTGTTAACAGTGGGCTTAAAATATTCCATAAACTATGTTGTAAACAGATGAGCTGTCATCCAGGCTTTATTGTTCCATTTATAGAGCACAGGCAGAGTGGATTTAGCATAATTCTTAAGGGCCCTAAGATTTTTGGAATGGTGAATGAGCATTGGCTTCAACTTAACGTTACTAGCTGCATTAGCGCCTAACAAGAGAGTCAGCCTGTCATTTGAAGCTTTGAAGCCAGGCATTGACTTCTCCTCTCTGGCTATGAAGGTCCTGGATGGCATCTTTTTCCAATAGAAGGCTGTTTCGTCTACCTTGGAAGTCTGTTGTTTAGAGTAGCCACCTTTATTAATGATCTTAGCTAGATCTTTGGGATAACTTGCTGCAGCTTCTGCAGCAGCACTTACTGCTTCACATTACTCTTTTTTTTTTTTTTTTTGTGAGGAAGATCAGCCCTGAGCTAACATCCATGCTAATCCTCCTCTTTTTGCTGAGGAAGACTGGCTCTGAGCTAATCTCTATTGCCAATCCTCCTCCTCACCCCTCCCCCAAAGCCCCAGTAGATAGTTGTATGTCATACTTGCACATCCTTCTAGTTGCTGTATGTGGGACGCGGCTTCAGCATGGCCGGAGAAGCGGTGCGTCGGTGCGTGCCCAGGATCTGAACCCGGGCCGCCAGTAGTGGAGCGCGCGCACTTAACCGCTAAGCCATGGGGCCGGCCCTACATTACTCTTTTATGTTATGGAGACGGCTTCTTTCCTTAAACCTCATACTCTAACCTCTGCTAGCTTCAGACTTTTCTTAAGCAGCTTCCCCACCTCTCTCAGCCTTCATAGAATTGAAGTGAGTTAAGACTTGGCTCTGGATTAGCCTTTGGCTTAAAGGAATGTGTGGCTGGTCTTCTATCCAGACCATTAAAATTTTCTCCATGTAGCTGTTTCACTTTCTTTTCATTCGTGTGTAAACTGGAGTAGCACTTTTAACTTCCTTCAAGAACTTTCCTTTGCATTCACAACTTGGCTGACTGGCACAAGAAGCCTAGTTTTCAGCCTGTCTTGGCTTTCAACCTGTCTTCCTCGCTAGGCTTAATCATTTGTAGCTATTGATTTAAAGTGAGAGACCTGCGACTCTTCCTTTCACTTGAACACTTAGAAGCCATTGTAAGGTTATTAACTGGCCTAATTGCAATATTGTCGTGTCTTAGCGAATAGGGAGGCCTGAGGAGAGGGAGAGAGATGGGGGACCGGCTGGTCAGTGGAGCAGTCAGAAAACACACAACATTTATCAATTAAGTTAACCGTCTTATATGGGCGCAGTTTGTGGTGCCCCAAAACAATTACAATAGTGACATCAAGGATCACTGATCACAGATCACCATAGTGAATTCAATAATAATGGAAAAGTTGAAATGTTAGGAGAATTACCAGAATGTGACACAGACACAAAGTGAGCAAATGCTGTTGGAAAAGTGCGCTGATAGACTTGCTTAATGCAGGGTTGCCACAAACCTTCAATTCGTAACAAACGCACTTTATCTGGGAAGCGCAATAAAATGCAGCACAATAAAACTAGGTATGCCTATATGTGGTGCATGGTGAGGGTCCAGTTTTATGCTCTTTTTCATATCGATGTATCGTTTTCCCAATACTGCTCTTTCCCCATTGAATGGTCTTGGCACCCTCGTCAAAAATCGTTTGGCCATATATGTGAAAGTTTGTTTCTGGGCTACCTATTCTGTTCTATTGTTCTATATATCTGTCTTTATGCCAGTACTACATTGTTTTAATTTAACTTTGTTTTTCGAGTAGTTTTAGGTTTATAGAAAAAAATGAGCAAAAAGTACAGAGTTCCCATATACCCTCTCTTCCCCCAGTTTCCCTTATTTTTAGCATCTTGCATGAGTGTGCTGCATTTGTTACAATTGATGAGTCAATACCGGTAGATTATTAAATGCATAGTTTACATTTGGACTCACTCTTTGTGTTGTATATTCTGTGGGTTTTGACAAATGTATAATGACATGTGTCCACCATTCAGTATCACATAGAAAAATAGTTTCTTTACCTCGAAAATCTCCTGTGCTCCATCTCTTTATCCGTCCCTTCCCTCCCTCACCCCACACTCCTGGCAACCACTGATTTTTTTGCCATCTCCATAGTTTTGCCTTTTCCAGAATGTCATATAGTTGGAATCATGCAGTATGTAGCTTTTTCAAATTGGCTTGTTTCATTTAGCAGTATGCATTTCAGGTTCCTTTGTGTCTCTTGGTGGTTTGATAGTTCATTTCTTCTTATTGGAAAAGATAGACTTTTAATAAGTGGTATTGTGACAACTTGATAATCATTTGGAAAATATAAAATAGGATTCATAGCTCACACCATACACCAGAATAAACTTCAAATGGGTCAGAGATCTAGTTGTAGAAAAAAAGAGAAAAATCAAGGGAAAAAATGAAGCCATACAAATACTGGAATAAAACTTGGGTGAATTCACTTATAAACTGCATATAAGGAAAGCCTTCCTATGACTTAAAATCCAGATGGAATAGAAGAAAGATTGATAAATTTGTAACAACATAAAAAATTAAAGACAAAGATTTGCATGACAAAAACCCACCATAAGCGAAATCAAAAGAGAAATGACACACTGGGAAAAAATACGTGCAACATGTCAGAAATAAAGACATAGGCTCCCAAATATTAAAGGATTCTTAAAAGTCAAAGAAAAGACCAAAAACTCAGGAGAAAAATGGATAAAAGACATGAACAGACAGTCCATGTAAACAGTTATGGAAATGGTTCTTAGACATATGTGGAGATGTTAAAGTACTCTAATAATAAAAGAAATGCAAATTAAAACAGCACTTACACTAAGATACCGTTTTTCACCCAATAGATTGGCAAAAATTCAAAATCTTGACAAATTCTATTGGCAAAGCTGAGGCGAAACACGCCGTCACTTACATTCCTGGTGTGAGTGCAAGATGACCCCTGGCCGGTGGAAGGAGATTTAGCAAAGACTAAGAAAATCACAGTGGCTGGCCCTGTCCATGCCCCCACTTCCCCCTAATCTTTCAGTGTGCTCTGGGATTCCCCCGCCCCCAGAACCTTGGAAGTTTCCTCTGCCCACCAGCATGGCAGGCTGGAAATGTCTGGGAATTAACCTTCTCTGGGAGAAGCTCTCACTCACTGACTCTTGAGCATTGATATGATTGCTCAGGTGGGATAATTTTAAGGCCTGTTCTTTGACCATTTCCCTTCAGGATTCCCTGTCTCTACTAGGCAGGAGGCTCGATAGAGCACCCTTTCTTGGCTGTGTTTTCTTCCTGTGTCAACAGTACCCCCTGCATTTCTCAAATAGACATTTGCAAGTGTTTCCTGGTCACAAGGTCTGCTTCTGAAGAACCCAAACTAAGACCATGCCGCATGCGGTTACCCTGGGACCCAGCGATCCCAGGTCTAGGAATTTACCCTGAAAATGCATCTCTCCAAAAAAGAAACAACATTTACTCAAGGTTACTCATTGTGGCATTGTTTGTAACAGCAAAATGGGATCAAATTAAATACCCAACCCTAGAAGACTGGCTGAGTAAACCATGGTGCATCTACAAAGCAGAATATTCTGTAGCCGTTAGAAATAAAGCTGAAGGTCTCTCTGGATTGCTATAGAGTGGTTTCCAGGATGTATTGATGAGAGAAAAGAGAAAGTTACTAAAGAGAGTAGGTAGATTATGCTACCTTGTATGCAGGAAAGACCAGGGAATAGGAAAATATACATATATCTGCTTATTTTTGTGTAAACACTGGAAGGGTAAACCGTTAGCTATCAAACAAGATTACTTTGGGAGGTAGATGGAAAGGATCAGATGGGGGTGAGATTTCTCTTAGTACATCTTCTGCTCCTGGCCAAGGTGGAATAACAGGGACTGAATTTACCCTTCTACTTGAAACAACCCAAAAAGAAAGACAAAAGTCCTAAGAAGAAAAGACAAAATGACAGAGGGGTTTTCAAGACATGGACATCTGGCAACAAAGGACGGTGGTCTCTGAGAGGGCCAATAAAGGCAGCGAGCCCTGTGTTGCCTCTGCTTACTCCTGGGGAGGATTTCCAGACCACAGTGCAGGGAAGGACAGCCCAGGTGGAACGCAGCAGACTCTGAGCTGAGGAGACAGAGTCTGGGGAGACCACGGCAGCTAGAGTTCCTAGCACAGAGTACGGGAGAGGAGAGAGCTGCCCAAAGGGCAGACCCTAGATATGCACAGTGTGCCCCTCGAGTACACAGCAGCTCAGCACATGCAGGTGAGGAAAGTAGTCCAGCCTGGGAAAGGAACCATCAGGAAGGATTGGAGGGAACAGTGCCTGGCATGCACACAAAGGGCGGTTCCCACCAACCAGACTGACATAGAAGTGAGGAATCATTAAACCTCGATTTTAGACCCACCTAACAAATCATTAACACAAGATCTGAAAGGAGCAGACTGTCCAATTAACTTAACTGCCTCCCAGAACACAGCACAGAAGCTTTATGGGAATGTTTTTGATTTTTGAACAATGTAATGTTTTAAGTATTCAAATTTAAAGTTAAGTTAAAAGGAATGAGAAAAGCAAACCAGAAAATTGAAATCAAACAAACAAACCTCATGATGACATAACCACACAGAAGAAAAGGCTAATTCAGGTAAATTTTGGGCTCTGTACGCTATATATTCTCTACAGGAAAAAACACACAACCACAAAGAAATCCTGAACTCTCCTTAGTGGTATTGTAGACCTTCTGAATTATATTTGTGTACTGTTGGATAGAGTAAATGGGTATACATATTGATGTTGAGAACCAAGGTTCTCATTGTAGGTTAGGGGGGATAAAATATGGGATAAGTAGATCCTGATATTTTATCTTTTTTGTGTGTGTGTGTGAGGAAGATCAGCCCAGAGCTAACATCTGATGACAATCCTCCTCCTCTTTCTTCTTTTTTTTCTCCTCAGGAAG